CAGTGTATCCTCACCGATCTGAAACACTATCTTTAACATATAATACAGTCCTATGTGCATTAAGGGAACCCTGGTGGTATAGTGGTTAAGAGCTACAGTTGCTAACCAAGAGGTCAGCAGTTTGAATCCACCAGGCACTTCCTTGGAAACCGTATGGGGTGGTTCTACCCTTTCCTATATGGTAGCTATGAGTTGAAATTGTCTTGATGGCAACTGGTTTGGTTTTTTTTTTTTGTATGCATTAACGTTTATTCCTAGATTCTCTAGTCTGTCTTTCCTTTCAAATTGTTTATAAAATTTCTCTAGCTTTATAATATACTTGAATATTAGATAGTGCTGCTATTATTACATTAAATTCATTTTTCAAAATATTTTTATATTTTTGCACTTTTAGTTTTTTTGTTTTTTTTTTTAATTTTTGCTCTTGTGTATATGACATTTTCTTCGGTCACATTTTCCTTATTTTTTTGAGTTAGGAAGACAATTGTTTTTTATGTTTTAATTTTCAATCAAGTCCACATACTGATTTTTCTTACTGTTTTTAATAATATTAGGTGATAGTTTTTAGGATTTTTTTTTCAGATTTAAAATATTTTGCAAGTCACATTAGTTTTGTCTTTTTATTCTAATTTCGTAATTTTTTTCTTTATTTTCTTTGGCTGGCACCAGCAAAGCAATATGAACAACAACTTATGCAAAAGTGAGAGTGAAAACTCTTGCCTGTTTCTAACTTTAGTGAAAATGCTTCTAGAATATACCAATAAGCACAATTATAGCTTTTGAATATATATATATACATATAATATATACAAATAATCTGTTGCCATTGAGTCAATTCCTATAGTCACCCTATAGGACAGAGTGGAACTGCCGCATAGGGTTTCCAAGGCTGTAAATCTTTACAGAAGCAGATGGTCACATCTTTCTCCCACAGAGCAGCTGGTGGAGTTAACTGCCAACCTTTCAGTTAGCAGTCGAGCTCTCTGTATATACATTTATGTATCTCAAATAAAGGATATTATTTGTTCATATTCTAGAGATATTGGAAATTAAGTTCCTTTTAATTAAGAATTCATATTGATTTTCATTCAATGTTTGTCATAATTATGGATATGATCATATAATCTTTCCTTTTGATTACTGTATATTGGATGTTTGCATCTCTCGAATTAACTCAGAAATATTTGCTAATAATTTATTTTAAATTGTTAATAAAAATTCACGTGTTAGGTGGTCTATTGTTGTTCTTTTTGTGTAAGCTATCTCAAGTTCTATTATCATGATATTCTGGCTTGACAAAAGTGATTAGATAGCATTTATTATTCATCTCACTCAGAAACACTTTTATAAATACAATTGAGTCATGGCCTCTGTCATGTTAAAGAACTTAACTCTGGAGGATATCTTTCTCTCTTTTATCCATTTTTTCCATTTCCATTTACTCTTTCTTAAAGCTAGTTGCTCAATGACCCCTTAGATACTCTTGTCTCCTCATACCATATAGGACAGAATAAAACTACCCCCTAGGGTTTCCAATTAGCAGCTGGCAGACTTGAACTGCCAACCTTTTAGTTAGCAGCCAGGCTCTTAACCCCTGGGCCACCAGTGCTCCACTGGATGATTGCTACTGATTTAACTACAAAGTTTCCAAGATTCACCTTAGTATTGAGTAAGAAGACAATTGGAAGATAAGACTCACCATTTCCTCTACATTTGCTTGGAGGTCTTTGCTTTTGGCATTGTGTAGAGGCATCATAGTTTGCCAGTTCAAAGTTACAATTATGAAATTCACTCATCTCTGTAGAAAAACAATTCAGGCCAATATAAGACCTGACCTCTTTCCATTTGGGGTATACCTTTTTAAAATTCAACTTACCATTTCCATATACATATTTCCATTGAATATACTTTTTAAAGTATAATAACATGAATTTATTTTGTTTCGTATTACTTCATTCTTAAGATGTTTACACTTTGTAATATAAATAAAATGTGTTTATTGCATTGCAAAATATCTTTAAGAAGAACCTATGTATTATTAAAATAAGAAAATTCATAATATATCATGAAATCTACTGTTAAAATAAAGACACCAATATAGTGAAGAAGACAGAGGCCTGGGGAGAGAAACATAGACTGAAGCTTAGATCTATATTTACTAACTAGTTAACGTCACAAAAATAATTTAACTTTTGCATGTTGATTTTGTCACTAAGGAAGAAAGGAAGGAAGGAAGGAGAGAGAGAGAGGAGGGAGTAAGGGATGTAAGGACGGAGAAAAGGAGGAAAAAAGAAAGAGGAGGCCAGGAAAAAGAAAAGGAATGTAGGAAGGAGGAAGGAAGGAAGGAAGGAAAGAAGGGACCCATACAACCTAGTATAGATACTTTAAAAATGAAATAAAGGAACATGAACTAGTATCAATAGTGCCAAGCACATAGTAAGCTCTTGGTAAATGCTAGTGTGTTTAATTCCCTTTATACTGAAGGACATACAAAGGCTAAAACAGTAGGTTCTAAAGTTTTCAGATAAAGTCTTGTCTGAAAAAAACAAGCAAAAATAATTTTTGCTCTCTTCTTGAAATATTAATCATTTACTGAATATTGAAAAACCCTTTATAAATGACATAGATGTCTTTTAAATCTAAAAATTAAAAAGTAAAGATGGTAAGTGTTGTTTTATGGATAGGAAAATGAATATTATAGATGATCAAAAATGTATTGTTTATTTAATATAATGTTACCAACCATGAGTAATTTATAACATTTTCAGTTAAGAAGCACTTCCAAATATATATCACCTAATTTAAATCTCACAAAAATCCACTAAGACAGATATAGCATATTTGTTTCATATTTTATTTGATAGAAAATGAAACTAAAATGCATAGAGACTGTGGATTTCCTTAGATCTCAAAAGTGGAGAGCACTAAAAGTTTGATTAAAATTAAGTTCTTCTGACTCTAAATCCTAATGCCATTTCACTATTTCAAACTGCCTCAAATGTGAGTGACTATATTTTAGGCAGTGAAGAAAATGAAGGAAAAAAGATTTTGC